TCTAATGTACCTATCCAGTTTCATCAACTGACACTGCTGACGGTCGAGTACATATTCTGCGGCATCGTGTTTTAACCTACCTATCAATAGATCGACTTAAGGTTTAACCAAGGATTGATGTCAGTCAGATAACATCTGAAAGTCAATACGGAGTACTGAAAATTCGTTTCGTCCTAGTTTGGGACTCATCATCAGTGTGCACCTACCGGGGTCCGAACCTGTGACATTCTGGTTACCAGTCCATCTCGTCAAATATTCAACCACTAGAAGCCAACTTGACGACCCATGAATTCAATACATATGTAAAGATGGTTACCGGGAGACGCAATTCTGTCACTCATGGAAAATTTAAATCAGTTCACTTTAAGCTTAAAATTGCGCTGAAAGGGGATGTTGTCCAGAAGGACGACGAAAGCTCCGCAACTAAAACCAAGCAGATAAGAGAACACTACTAATTGCAAATTCTAACTTCCACCAATTTGTGATTTTAACACCACCTGCACCACACCAGCCAGTATCACCGGGGAGTATTTGTCTTCACGTCCAACCTGCTGTTGAACCCCACTGGTCACGACTTCTGACTAGAACTCGAGTCAACTTCATTCTAAAGCCAGGCATAAGCAAGGTCAGATTAGTTTTCAAGAGTTTGTTTGTGGGGATTGGCACTAAGGTTTCATCGCCAGCGAGTCACTAACATTCTGTGGTCAAGCAAAGCTCCATACGTATTAAATCTTTGAGTCTATATTTACGACATTCCGAACTACATCGATTCCGCCAGCTATCACTTGTATTACTAGTTTCAATTGTACGATTCGACTTTTGAAAGCACATAATTCATAAGAGATCTTGCTCTAGTGTATGTACCACCAGCAGTGTATACTTTAAACCCTGGAGAAGTACATAGACCTGCGTAAGACAGAAAAGAAATTCGTCAATCCTACTGAGCTTTCAGTGATCTTCAACGATCAATTTGTTTATTTGTAGTAACAGAGATTGGATACAACAGACCGCGGTCAATTTGTGTTTGAAAAAGCAAGGAAGAAGTGGTTGTATACAAGGTCATTTACTCCAATACACCTATGGATAGTCCTCAATATTTAAAATTCAATTTCGGCGAATTCGCCGAAAAGAGACTCTTCGCTGATCTATGTGTTTTGTTTTCATTAATGCCTGGATGGGGAATATCCATGAATTTAAAATTCTTCCTTCTTTAGCCAAGACTTCTCATTACGAGGAGCCTAGATATGAAATTAGAATGACTCAGTCATATGACAATCCTAAACATTTTCTCTAGTGAACACCAGAACACTACAGGTAACTGACCTCAAACAAAACTTCTACTGCCTGCCAAATAAAGATGTACTTTAAAGGTTATTACAGTTATATTTAATTTGAAAAGTACATAAAAACCAAGACCTTATTTCATGAAAAGTACGCAATGATTGTAAGCCAAATAGTCAAGTACATATATAGTAAAAAAAAACACTATTGAGTAATAAAAAGAAGAAAAGGTTCCCAGCAAAGAGTTACTCTTTCCAGTAATATCATTCTTGACCTGTACAATCGCATAAACTTTTCTCATCTATCTTTTCTTTTGTGTTCGAATTTATACTACTTACCATTAGTAAGTAGTATAAACTATTAATATGTGTGTAAAACTTGGGCACTATGGTAATAAGTAATTCCATATCAGTTTGTTTATTAGATATATCACTCAGTGAGTGAAACAGTATTATTATTTACTGGATGACGTTTCGAACACAATTTATTACTGTTCATAATCATTTCATCAATTATAATCACACAACTTCGAAACTTGAGTTTTATAGTTTTCTTTGTTCTCTCCTGTTTGTCGTCACAGGGGTAGTAGAATTTTCCAGATGTTAGATCATTCCTATTACACGTATTTGCAGTTGATTCGATAAACACAGCTTCTGTTATCAATCTCTCCCTCCCTCCACCCTGCTGCATTAGATTTTAAAAGTGTCGTCTTATCCCATCTCATCCTATTGTATAGTTGGTTGTGTGTAATTGCATGTAGTGAGTGCTATCGCTGAACTATTCACTAGATTTCTTAACTTATTCGGGTCAACTAATCTAGATTTTTGTGCTCGGCTAGTCTGACTGACTGACCCTGTTCTCCTACTTTGACCTGACAATCATTCCAGCAGGGTATTAGATAAACTAAATTATTTTGTTTAGTTGGTTCAACTGGCAGGATACTTCAACCGACAAAGCGTGTTTGTAATTGAGTTTGTGGGGGAGAGGGGTTGAATGTCACTTTTATTCCTGCCTTGTTAAGAATTCTGCGTAAAGCTTTCGAGGTTCCTTCCTTGCATGGAATTACTACTGATGATTTAGATTCCTTATTGTTGGTGTTATCATTATCCTGTGCATGTTTGACATGCATGTCGTCATTAATATTATCATTATTACTATCGCCATCACTACTAACATCACAAATATGGAATTAACCCCACAAACTCAATTAGAAACAAGCTTTGTTGGAGCCTTTCAAACAAAACAATTTAGTTTGTCTGATACCCTGCTGCAATGATTGCCAGGTCGAATACACAGGTCAAAGTAGTAGAACAGGATCAGTTATTCAGACTAGCTGAACATAAAAACCTAGCAAAATCTAGATTAGTTGACTCCAATAAGTTAGGAAATCTGGAGAACAGTTCAGCGATAGCACTCACTACATGCAATTACACACAACCACACAATAGGATGAGATGGGATAAGATGACAGTTTTAAAATCTAATGTAAGAGAGTGGAGGGAGACATTGGTAACAGAAGCTTTGTTTATCGAACCAACTGAAAGGGAATACGTGTAATAAGAATAACGCAACACCTGTCCACTCAGACATCTGGAAAATTCTACTACCCTTAGGACGAAAAATAGGAGAGAAGAAATAAAACTATAAAACCCAAGGTTCGAAATCGTGTGATTATAACTGATGATATGATTATGAACAATAATAGATTGTGTTCGAAACTGCATCATCGAGTAAATAATAATACTGTTTCAGTCACTGTGAGTGATACATCTAATAAACAGACTAATATGGAAGTATCAGTTATATATTTTCGACTTAAACAAGGCTTTGTTCGCTATTAAAGGGTAACACGCTTAATGGATTCACGCTCTATTTGATGTATAGTCATTAATTTCTTATAGTTGAACATTATCTGCTGTATGTGATTTATTCATATACGCCTTACTATTGAGCATTGTTTATCCGTGCCCCTATATTCTGTGTCTGACTTTTGCACGCCGTATGAATAACACGTGGATCGCCCTTAACATAGCTCTAATGTTTTTACTTAATGATGCACAGTAGTGACTGTGCTTTCTTTCTGAAGGCATTCAGCCACAGATACCTCCCAAATGAGGTTTGTATATTATATCTCATATGCTATATTCAATATATATATAGTACCGTATTTTAGACAAATCTTGTGTTGTTTTCGGATTTTACGCGTCAGTCAACGTGTAGTTTTGATGATCGTTTCGAACTCCTTTTCGAAGAAATTCACAACCAATTTGTTGCTAATATAATGTACTAGATATACATATAATCGATTGCACAGTATGAGAATGATATCGCAAGAAACGCCTGTTCTTTTTGTAGGAACATACAAGTACCGCCGCTCCCCTCCCCACCACCATTTTGGCACAATGGAATAACACACACACACACACTTTAATAAACATCTCACCAGCAACTCACACAAAAAACACATCAAATAAATCAATAAGATCCATGATAAAAGAGAAATTTATTGAGTTCTTTGTGTTGATAATTTGTTTGATTTTTTTTTTATACAAAGAGAATATTATCATTGATTCATTCATACTTAAATCGATTACAAAAAGAAAGAAAAATCAATAAATAAATCAATACGAAGAAGAAGAAGATGAACAGAGAAAGAAAAACACGAATTTATGTGCCAAAAACACAAGGTGTTCATTCACATGACATGAGAAAGAATATCTGAGAAGAGAACAAGATCCAGTTCACGTAATGTAACGTAAAGTAACATGAACGGAGGAGGCTAGGACAAATACTACTATCACTACTACTACTTCTAATCATAGTGAAAACAAGCAGTATATACTACTTAATAACTAATCTTCAGTAGTATTTGAATACACATGGAAAAAAAGATAGAGAGTGATCAAAAAGAAGGAAAAGATCAGACAAAAACCAAGGGGAAAATGGAAAATAGGATCAAATTACAAGAAAGAGTGATAAAGAATGCATCATGGGCATATAATCGATAATAAAAACAACGAGAAGAAAGTTACAGAAGAGGCGACAAGAGAATATTATGATACATCATAAGTAATTTACTCGATGGTGTCTAGCTAGCATTTCGTCCCACTTGGAACTCACTCACATGCGTAGTGAGTGACTAGGAAGTGCCCAGCGCATCCATGTTGTTTCGAACCATTTGGGTGCTTAAGGAGAGATCCAGGAGAGATCCTGGATCCGGTCACACCACCACCGCCACCAAACTATTTCAATTTAGTCTTCAGATATAATCGTCAAAGCATCCATGCTGGGCAGGAGACGTGACATGTGTGTTCATTGAAGGACGGATATTTTGATTCAGGCAGTCAATCAATCAACCCATGGGGAAATCAAAATATTATTATTGTACACGGTTGGAATATACATGCAGTAGTACTAACAACAATATTATTATTATTATTATTATTAATAAATAGACAGGTGAAATCAAAAAGGAGAATCAACTGATACTTATCACTTTCTCCTAGTAAATGTGTCTATATGTGTGCATGTTTGTGTGTGTGTGTGTGGGGGGGTATGATCACGATGAGAGGATAAATGATAATGATGGTGATGACGTAATACACAAAAAAATGCACAATTACAAACGAATGCATGTTTGCATGCCTGCGTGTGGGTTTTGAGGAGGGAAGGCGGGAAGGAGAAACAAAGGTCCACAACACCCCCCCCCGACACATTATTTATCTACTGGACATTACCACTGAAGTTAAATCTTTCGGTGGCTTCAAATGGACATTTCGTTGTCTAGCTAAGAAGGAGAGATTATTCTCGGCAGTGGATGATTTTGTATGATTCGACTTCGATGTTGTTGTTCTTGGAGATTTGATAGGATAATTACAATTTTCACATGACTGTTGTTTTAAACCATCTTCAACTGTGTTCTGTGTTGACTGAATGATTAAGTTGTACCAAGCTGTCAAAAGGAGACGTTCTTCAGCTTCACGATGACGTCGCATTTGTTCATGATGAGTCTATATATCATATATGATTGGAAAAAAAAGGATAAAGGGCAGCATTAACAACGGAGGAATACAATGAATTAACTAACTAACTGACTAGTTAGATGAATCATGGAAAATTCCCATTGCAACATATAGAAAATCAAAACAAGTGGTGATTCAGCGAAGAGACTCTTTTCAACGAATTTATCATCAAGCTGTACAGTCGTATGTGCATATGGTTTTTAAAAAGCTATATCCGGTGAGGGAATTGAAACTTAGGTGTGAATGCATAAAATAATAATAATAACAGTAGTATGAAATGCAATTAAAACTAAAATGTTTGTCATTATAATCGTAGTTAAATGCCAAGTGGCAAAGCAAATTAATGTCATATATAGAATAATTCATAGGATGGATAGAACTTGAAAAAGGGTGTGCAATTATAGGATTAGTAGACAAATCGAATAAAATAAAAACGTTACGTAATATTGTGTGAAATTTAATAGCATAGAATTTAACATTGTAAAAAAGAAGAATTGATTTAGAATGACAAGTGGTACGAGTGAAATAATACCGGGGACAGTTAAAAGTGTGAGTAGTAATAGTAACAATTGACGCAATAATGGAAGAGACTACAAATTGAATAGACAAAAATGAAAAAAATGAAAAATTGGTAGAGCTAAAATATGATTGGGGATTACCATACTTTAGCATAGAGGGATTAAGACCATGAAAGTTGGAGGGGTTGAACGAACTTTTTCTGTACACAAAGATTTGGCTTTTCTGTTTCGATAGCCAAAGCTTCAGCAATACAGATGAGTCGGGTACGTTGGGATTTGGGTAAATTACTCTTTGCCTTGTAGATGACTTTAAAGGCGGAGGCTATAGAAATAGGATGATCATTATCGACCAGATGTTCAATTGTCGCGCTTCTTATTGCTCCACTTCCACCTTTTCGTAACCTCCAACTTTCATGGTCTTAATCCGTCTATGCTAAAGTATGGTAATCCCTGATCATATTTTAGCTCTAACAATTTTTCATTTTATCTATTCAGTTTGTAGTCTCTTCCATTATTGCGTCAATTGTTACTATTACTACTCACACTTTTAACTGTCCCCGGTATTATTTCACTCGTACCACTTGTCATTCTAAATCAATTCTTCTTTTTTACAGCGTTAAATTCTATGGTATCAAGTTTCACACAGTATTACGTAACGTTTTTATTTTTTCGATTTGTCTACTAATCTTATAATTGCACGCCCTTTTTCAAGTTCTATCCATCCTATGAATTATTCTATATATGACATTAATTTGCTTTGCCACTTGACATTTAACTACGACTATAATCACAAACATTTTAGTTTTAACTGCATTTCATACTACTATTATTATTATTATTATTATTATTATTTTATGCATTCACACCTAAGTTTCAATTCCCTCACCGGATATAACTTCTTAAAAACCATATATATAGTTAAATAAAGACATCTGAAACATACATATAAAAAATAGCTGAGCATTTGCCTACCCGTGATGAATATCGAGAGAGGAGCGGATACCCCAGGTTAATACTTCGATCGTCTAATTCCACCGGTAGAACACTGGATCCGCCAGCCAACTGTCATCCATTACATATCACAATGACAGTCTCTCAGTAAAGGACTAACCCAGATAATCTGACCATTGAGACTGGTGAGAATATTTCCAAATTGTATCTGCAATATCCGAGTGGAATCGTGGTCCTCTGAGTTGGTGGTAGAATGCTGGACAACTACGGAAGTGTGGTCTAGGACCCAACTCACACTCATACTAGACGACAGTAAAATCCGTTCAAATACGGAAGGTTGTGCAAGAGGCCAGCAACCCCACTACCCCTAATAAAACTTCAGAGCTCAAGCACTAAACCCTATGTTCCACTCAGAATATGTAGTCATCAGTTTTGTGAAAACACGATATTATCTTTTTAATTGTTTTGTCATTGCGGGATATATTTATCAATCTCTAACTTCAAATTCTAAATGGAGTTTCTTTGTATGGGTACTTGTCTAGTGTACTCAGTAGAACAGGGCTGCTTCAGTAAAGAGATGGATTTCATATCCCATATTACAACACAGAGAAAGAGTTCTTGAAACTTTACAATTTATTATTTCCCATACTCGCTAACTTCACACGGGGTCAGAATTTGATCTATGACCGATGAACTCGTAGACTTCCTCTATCTAATAGTAAGTCGAGTACAGAGGCATGGTTAGGCGTGGGCCTAGTAACTTCAACCTGTTAAAAAAAACCCACTCCCACCGAGATTTTAAAGCTGGAGCTTCAAGCCAGGTCAGCACCAATGAACTTAGTTCTGCACAATCCTTTTAAAATGGCTCTAGGACTGATATAAGAATAAAACGTTTGCACTGCGGTAGAGTATAATTCCATTATGGGTAAAATTTATTTATACAATAATATTTACTGATGGTGTTTCGAGGACAATTTATCGCTGCTCATAATCATATCAAGACACTACTGACACAACTTTCCAGCTTCATTTACATAATTCCATTATTTTCCATCGCTTGATTTGATTGGTAGTAGTATTTTCTATATTTCCTGAATGAGTGATGAGTCATTCCTATGGCACGTGTTCGATGTAGACTCGATGAACAAAGATTCAGTAATCAACCACCTCTTTCTCCACCTACCTATATTACTTCTTAGAATTTTAACCCTCTCCCACCCTATTGTTTGGTTGTGTGTGAATGCATGCAGTGCGCTTGCTGAGCTTTTTTCTAAATTACTTATCTTCGTGGGATCAATAAACCTAACCTCAGCTAAATTCTTAGGTTCTGATAATCTCACTACTCCCGATCTACTAGTTTGACATATGTAGTTGACCTAACTCACAGTGACTGCAAGGTATTTTGTAAATTATATTATTTTGTTCAATCGGGTCCACTGGATCGTTTAACCCACAGAGCTTGTCTTACCTGACTGAGTTTGTAGGTTTAAGTGCCACCCTAATTCCTGTTGTATTAAGCAGATGTCCCCTCCCTATATGGTAAAACTGAGACTCCTTACATTCTCTCTTATTAATGTTATCATTATTAGTTTCGCCATTATTTTTTATTTTGAACTTCTCTGATCTTTCCAATGAATTTCATAGGATTATTAGTTATTCAACACCAACGCTGTCAAACGAAAACATGGCTTCATCAGTCAATGAAATCCAAAGCAGTTAGTTTAAGCCAGGCAGCCACGTAGGGAGGTGTAGACTTCCTGCCTACCTCGTTGGGGTTCTGGGAGTGGTAAGAACCAATGACGGTTGGAGATAATTGGTGATATGGCTCAAACTCATCATTCTCGGTGATGGCTGACGCAGAAGCATTCACTCCTTGTGAATTAAAATACCCAATAAAACTGTATTGTGCTCCGATATTACTATTATTTTTTTGCATCATATCTCTGTTTACTGTCTCTATTTTGCGTTTCTTTTTACTTTCTTCTCTTGCTTTGTATGTTAAGTGAAGTGTAGCGACTAGAACTGCTGCACATCGGTGCAAAGTTCCACGTTGAAACCATTCAATCAATCAGAGGAATTTTTAATCACCGACCAACATCAATAATATATCAATTGTGTAAGATAATAAACAAAAAAACAACAACAAAATATTCTACATAGACTACTCACTTCCAACTTTTCAATAACACGTTCTTTTTCAACTAATAAACTGCGTAGATGACTAATCTCTTCATCGTATTTACGGCTGTTATTGTTACTATTATTATTATTATTATCACTATCACTGTCAACGATATTATTATTATTCTCATTACTACTATTCTCTTGTTGTTTCAATGAAAAACTCTTCTTTCTATACTCTGGACAAATATCCTGGTGGATACGATGTTGACGTTCAAGGAGACGGATAACTTCACGCGCTTTCCATAAATACCCACGATACTTTTGTTCCATTTCAATGAAATCGCTCTCCTTCTGTGTTAATCGTGTCAACAGGTTGTTGTACGCCTCTTGTAGTTGTTCTTGTTGTTCATCTACAACATCAGTGTCCCCTTTTTTCGCCGACTGGATGACATCAGAGGCGGCTATGGATAAGGCACAATCTGTTGCTGTTGCTGTCGTCAGATGATGACGATTCTGTGCTCGTGATGTATTGCTAGTACTTGTTACAAGCATATCTGATGCTGGTGGTGACTGACAAATCAATAAATTCGACGACTCGAACGCCAATTTATCATCATCATCATCACCAATATAATCAGCATCGTCTTCACCGACACCACCACCACCACCACTATCATCAACTCCACTCCCACCATGAATGCTACCACTTTCCATACTATACATTGATGTACGCAGACGACTAAGTTCTTCTTGTAGATTTAACATTTGTGATTGCATTGCAGGCGATAGGATTGAACTAGAATCGAGTTGACTAGTTTTATTATGGTCGTTATTCACAGGTGTACCATCTGAAAAGGAAATAATAATAATAAGGGAAAAAATAGAAATAATGACAGAATTTACTCAATAATAAAGGAAAAACACATCATATGGCAAAAAACTTGGAGGATCTGAACTTCTCCAACGATATATATGTCTGATTTCCCAAAAACTGGAAGACATGCAAGTGATGAAAAGCAACAAGTTGGCAGAAGAAGCAACAAAGATAAGACTTCCTTCAGGTGAACATAGAGAAAACAGAAGTGATGATTCCTGGGCACCACCACCAACAGCGACAACAACAACTGACAACAATCAGCATAAATGGGAGGAACCTGAAGGAAACAACCTCCTTTATCTACCCCACCTAGGAAGCATCGTTTCAACTACAGGCGGACGGAACTGATGAGGATATCAAAGCAAGAATCGGAAAAGCAAGACAAGCTTTCACTACTCTCAAGTCTGTGTGGAGGTCAACAGCACTCAGCATGAAAAATAAGATCCGGATTTACAACTCCAATGTGAAGTCAGTCAGTGCTACTATACGGATCAGAGACTTGCACTGTGCGTCATAAAGAGCACCTCAAACAAACTACAGACCTTCATCAACAGCTAGCTGTCTTCGCTCAATACTCAAGATCAGCAACAGAGATCTCTGGGAGCGAACCAACACAGCAGGAACCGATTGTGAAACAAATAGGCAGGAAGAAATGGAGATGGATTGGCTAGCGATACTCTAAGGAAACCATCAAGTGACATCACTAGACAAGCCATTGCTCAAGTGGAACGCGAAAGGGAAGCGGCGAGTTGGTCGTCAGTGCGAGGGTGACATGGAGGAGGAGGTCATGTGAAGAGGAGATGAAAACGTGCGGGCAGACATGGAGCCAGGAGGAGACTCTAGCAGAGAACCGAACGCAATGGAGACGCACGGCTGAAGTCCTACGTCCCCCCAGGAATTAAAGGAAACAATGGGAGAGGAGAATGAATACACATCAGTTCGACGAAATGATAGATGCCCAAAGGATAGGAAAACCACTGAAAACAAGCACCAGTCGTATTCACTGTTATCCGGAGAAACAGTTTTTTATATATCATTCATACAGAATACTAAAACCTCCCCTCTTGACGAGAACATCAATCAAAAAACTGAGAAGGTGAATGTGGACGCCTGACATATTTACAAGCTAATCAGTGGGCATACAGATCTACACCAACTAGGTAGGCGGGTATACTCTTGTTTCAAATTTATGATGTACACATGGGCTACAGAATTCAAACGGGTTGAATAGAGTATATGAACTTGTTGTAGTCACTGGCGACCATGAGAATGTAGCTTCTCACACTGTTCCATTGTCTTGTAGATCTAGGTTCAAGTTGAAGGCTCCGTGGAGGAGAATGACCAATCAATACAACCCTTTATGAATTCAGACAAAGCAATAAGAAGACGCAATTTGTCTATCTGAATTGTGTAATGTTGTATTTGCACACACATTTCCAACAATCTAATCACACACAGACTTGTCAAATTTCAAATTAATAAAGAGTTAAGAGGTGAGAAAATAAATTCAGGTCAAGTTAAAAGGACATATTGAAGGTGAAAATAACAATGAAGATCACAAAACCAAATGAGAGAGGTAATAGTACATCTACCCTGGCTGGTATCAAAATAAAGTTTACCAAGGAAGGTTTAGTGTGATGACAAATTGTTACTTTGAACGCAGAATGGTGCTTTAAACTTCGTAAATTGCCAGCTAAGTCTTCCACAAACGTTAGGACACGCCCTTCCGCAAACATGTTTTATAGATAGGTTTAAAAGACGTTTCTCTATAATATAATTCGCAATAGAGGAGCTAGGTCGGCTGTTCTTACCATTAATGGGTTCTGGGGATTCAATACGCTTCCGAAGCCATTTAGGAATATACTCTGAAGCTTTATTCCTCCTGATACTGCTGATATTATGTACATAACTTGCATAGAAGCTTATTGCACAGTATTTTCTCTTTTTTCAGGATTTTCAAATAAAATGCTTTCTAACCTGAAGCACAAACCAATAATCCCTTATGATAATTCTTCTTTGCCTCCTTTGACAAATGTAGGATATCTGGTTGAAAGCCAATTATCTAAAGTTCAGGAGTATATTTTGAGACTCCAAGACATATCTCGGGAACACTAATCTTCTGTGCTCGGATTCGTTGCCAACTAAAATCATGCGTTTTTCTCAAGTTTAGAGGCGACTAGTCGAAAATGGGTAGAAAATTTAGTGCTGCTGCATGGGAAGAGAGACACTCACAGTAATCAAGCAACTATACTTTTCTGGCTGCAGACAATTGAATAGTTTAACAATGAGTGTAATTACGTCTCATCCGATAAATACTGACTGACTGGTTTCAACATAGAACTTTGCACGGATGTTCAGCAGTTCCAGTCGCCACACTCTCTCCATGAAGCACACAAAGCAAGGGAAGAAAGTAAAAAGAAATGCAAAACAGAAACAGTAAACAGAGATATGAGATCAGAAGAATAGTAATATCGAAGCACGATACAGTTTTATCGGGTATTATAAGTCACAAGGAGTGGATACATCTATGCTAGCCATCCCCAAGAACGATGAGTTTGAGTCATATCACCAATTGTCTACAGTCTTTACTGGTGTTTACCACCCTGAGGACCCCCTAACCAGGATGTCTACAACTTCAAGTCAGCTATATCGCCCTCCCTTTTGAAGGGAAATGATGCTTACAAAAGGTCGACTAAGCCAACAATGGTACATTCCACCTTACCTTACAGCGGTCCACAGCCAGTGGTAAGATCTTCATACAGCCGTATGTGTGACCAGTGCCAAGCAGTTGTCCCCTGGGCTCTGCGCTCACGAACTCAGGAGAAGAAATCTATTTCCACCATGAGGGCAGCCCAATTAAGTAATAAATGCCCGCATACTTTCAAAATAAAAAAGGTAGCTCTCCCTACTGTTATTCAGAGTTTCCATATCTCTGCGACAATTTCTGATTGTACGATTGTTAAGGTAGTGTCTTAGCTTAATTAAGAAATTCATAAAGCAATTACAATATCGATCTTGATACTGTATGAATTCCCATCCTGGCGATTATACAATCCTTACTGTTTTAGAATAATTCTGGATACCAAATAGAATTAGTATCAAGTAAAGACACTACATCAATAATTCCACTAGGAAGACAGGAAAGCAATTCAACCCAAACAAACAATTCAGACTGGTGTCAAGTTGGATAACTATTCTGACGACATGGTCACCAACCAGTGGGGTTCACAAGGTCGGATGTTATGATAAATACTCGCCAGTGACACTGATTGGCGGTGGAACTGAAAATCTCGAAATAGCATACACATAGAGTTGAAGGATCTCTGAATCCCCCCCCACCAGTGGCTGAATGATCAACGAGCTCCCCTCATTACCTGGAAGTCCTGGGCTCGATACTCAGTTGGGTAATGCATTGGCGAGTATCCTTCCGAAGAGGTCCAAAGCGGGGTGAAGCGTCTACCTGGAAGTCCCTGGATTTTAATGGTTCTCAAACTGATTGCGATTCAAAACGAAACTATAAGCCAATTTCTGTCAAATGTAGAACGACGCTGAGCAGTATATTTTCCTTATCGATATATATATATATATATATATACATATATTGGCCGCTAATAATCCTGAAAATGTGGGAAGTTCGGGCGCGTGACTAGTCAACACTACTCCGTAAAAAAACAAACACAATTACACTGCTACTGAAACTTCAAAGTCCCACCGGGATCTCGAAAAGACCTCAATTTTGACCAGAAATGATGCTGACAGCTGAAAGCCTTCAGAAAGTCAGTCAGCCGATGCCTTCTCTCTGTGACAGCAAAAGTAAGTGTACAGGGATATATATATAGAAGTGTCAGCAGGACATTTCAAGCAGACTTACAAGGCAGCTTAGATTCCACTAGTAATGAGAAGACACTGTAGAGAAGTGTTCGAGATCTGTGAAAGCGGATCGAACAGATGTAAGTGAACTATCCTAACTGTTAACTGCCGATTACCTCTAACCATCTAATATCGTCAAATCAACGTGCACCGTGATGACGAGCTACCTAGATGGTTGGAAGCAATCGGCAATTGCGAACCCGAATAGCTCAGTGGTAAAGTCTCTGACTGCAGTATTCACTGAGTGACGCGGGCTTGAATCTCAGAGTTCCTTCGAGGTGGTTTCAGATACGCCTTGCTGACCGGTGAGTGCCAACTAGCACGAAACCTAGGTCAGGAAAGGCTTCCTGTCGACTGCATCCAACCATCTAATATCATTAAATCAATGTGTACTGCGATGCAGGGCTACCTACAATCGTGGCCACATTGCAAATACCTGACTGATCGAATTCAGTCTGCACCAAACAAAGGACTAGACAAGTCACACTAGTTACTCACTAGTGTCCAATCAAAAACTTAAGAGTTAATCAGCAATCTACCGCAATCAACCAGACAACAATTGAAATCACACTGACGGTATGGCTGTCATATCGTCACCCAACAGCAACCAAAGATGTCATCATACAACAGGAACCAACCACCTTCAAGATCATCATCAGAACAAGACTCAACTCAATCAAAAGGTAGGAAAGCTGCAATTATACAGTGGTGCACACACACACACGCAAACAGACAAACAAACAACGCATATTCAGTGGAGAAGAAGAAGGAGGCGGGATTCTACAGACAAAATTAGACCAACACATAGCAAAAGCAAGAGATTTTATCAATTTCACTCACTACAAAGGCATTACTAAAAGACGATAGACGCATGAAATTCTAAAAAAGATTACGGATTTCATTCACAAATATTTGCGGTAAAAATAAAAAACTTCTAAGATATACACATACCAAGAGCTGATCAGCTGAGATATATTTCTTAGCTGTCTATTTTTTTCCGAAAAAGTCACCAGCTCAAATTTAGTTCGATAAGTAAGTTTCTTTTGTTAAACAAAAGTCAAAAATATTTTAAAAATACATATATATATATATACTTCAGAATATTACACACTTACAATTCGATAATTGTGCACATGATTGAAGACCTTCACAACACGATCGAAGACGGGTTAGTTCTGAGAAGATACACTGAAGAGAAAAAAAAAGGAAGAGAAAGAGATATGTGGAGGGGAATAACATGTGGGAAATTCTTTATTTTTCTGATTGGTTGGCGGATTTCATCATGAGCGCTGGCACCAGTTAGAGAACCATTGGAAAACCAGATACGAGTACTGGACAGCTGGCGGTTTCGTCAGCCTAGTTTGAAACTCTTCATCAGTACTTACCCACACTACGGGGCTCGAACCCAGGACCTTCTGGTTACAAGGCTAGATCGTAGACTACTAAGCCACTGGAACCCAATCCAATGGCCAGCCAGTGCATGAATTCTAACTTGTGCCGATTCATGACATGGCGCGACCACTTCGCAATGTCTTCTTCGTCGATGAGTTCCTGCCTCACCTTCAACCTGCTGTACCCTTTGTTTTTCTAACGACCATTTTACTCATTAATAAAAGACAGAAATATAAGGGAGGAAGAATAGTAACATGGAAAAACATGAGGGTATAATGAATCCCGGGAGAAAACAAAGAGTGGATATATCTGTGCAAGTGAGAACAATTCTAAGCAATATCAGTGATAGCCTCACCGTCCAGATGGCCATTTCACTCGTTCGGCACCAAGCTCGTCTGCAGTGTACGCGGTTCGACTCAGCTCATAGAGTCGAATCACTTCAAACTGTGTGGACTGCAAATGCCTTACCAATTTGCAAATTGTGAATTTGACCTGAAACCTATCTATATGACATTTTCTGAGCACTGTTCAATAATTTTGAAGCCTCTCTGTCAACTGACATCATGTCATCACAATAACTAAACCTTCCTTGGTGAACTTTGCTTTGATACCGTACCACTAGCCAGGGTAGATGTACTATTACCTCTCTTATTTAGTTTAGTGATCTTCATTGTTATTTTGACCTTAAATATGACGACCTTCTAACTTGACCTAAGTCTCTCTTTTCATTCCATGATTGTTTCAAGTATTGATTGGCAGGAATTTGATTGATTGGCCACAGGATTTTATGATGAGTTGACATCGGTTTGAGAACGATTGGAAATTCTGTAGGAATATATATATGTATATATATTCCTATGACAAGACCATATATGATCAGATTGCTCGAAATGTGTGGCAATTCAGACAAATTACGTCTATCTTCTGTCTGTCTGTCTGTTTCCGACATAGAACTTTGCACCGATGTGCAGCAGTTCAAGTCGCCACAATCTATGTAGCACACAAAGCAAGAGAAGAAAGTAGGAGAAATGCATAATAGAGACAGTAAACAGAGGTGTGAGACAAAGGAATAGTAATAACGAAGAACAATATAGTTTCATTGGAAATCATAAGTCACAAGGAGTGGTTGCATTTGCGCCAGCCATCACAGGGAACGATTTTGAGCCATATCACCAATTGTCTCCAGCCTTCATTGGTTTTTACCGTCCTGAGGACCCCAACCAGTAAGTCTACACCTTCCTACGTGGATAGCCTAAACCAACTGTTGTGGATTTCATTGACTGGTGAAGCCATGTCTTGGTTTGACCACCACTGGCTAGCTCTTTACCAGCCTGATCCTATGTCAGCTAACATCGCCCATTGTCGAGGAAGTCAGTCGATGACTATGCATACGTAACACATGTCCTAACCATCTCAGTCGATGTAGCTTCACAGCCTCGTCTATTGATTTCCCCTCCAAATCACCTACCACTCGAGCAATGTCTAACCTCAATATTGCTCACCTTATTATACCACCACTTCAAACGGGAGATAGAACGCAGGCACCTATGATCAAAGACAGCTAGCTAGGCTTTTCATGTCCTCCACTCGTTACCCCTTCTTATATCGCTTTGTCTAAAAGATCATCGCTTCAAAATGCAAGTATAAACAGCTGTTTGCTTTATGTAACAAAAACTGTTTCGAGATGATAGATAACTATGTTGAATCACTTGAGAATGAGTGTAGAGCTTCAAGAGAGTTTAACAGTCGACTAATCGAATAAATAAATAAACAAACACAGATTGTTGATGTTATCTCAAGAAAAAAGTATTAAAAACATTGAATGTTTAAAATTGATTTTAAATGCAAATCATGATGTCAATGACCATGGGGGTAACACCCACATAGCACATAATGAATGTCAGGTCATCATGACAATTTTCATAAAAAGTGAGTAATGATAAGCACATTTTTAAACGAAAAGCCCGCCTTTTTTGTAAACTGTTTATTTCGCTCACCATTTTGTGTCGATAAATAAGAAAAAAGAAAACATATGCGAAAGAGCTTGAAGACATATTGATTTTAACTGATTAAAAAATGCCCATTAAAGTTTTTTTCAAAAGAATGGATACTGAACAAAGAGTACTCTTTTCGATAACCCCTTCATCATCAGGCTCTACGGTTATATACACACATTATAGTGAATGAATGAATTAGTGTTATGAACAACATTAATGTCGTTTAAATAACATCGAATCAATAACATTGATAGAATACAGCTCAATAGCATCAACATAAAATAAGCTGAATGTCAGAAAAATTAGGATAGATAATATTATGAATTCATGAATTTATAGTCTCTACTGAAGACCAAGGCGGTAATAGGGACTAGACTTTTTTCTTTTGAACACAGAGCACAGGTTGTTTGAGGTGAATTGCAATAGCCTCTACTGTCTGGAGCATGCGGTGCTTCGATGATGATCTTGGCAATTTATTAGGCAACCGGTAGACGATGACGGAGAAGAATTCTTCCACGCTAGCTGGCTTTGTGGCAGGCCGGTTTGCACCAGATGGTCTAATATCGAACTGTTAATGGTTTTAACGACACCTTTACTTAGCCATAGTGGGAGATGTTCACTAGCGAGCACGAAAAATCAAGTTCCTAGAGCAACGGCCAATATAACTCGCTCCATCACAAGCAGCGCAGCTGAACTGGTAGATACAATTTAAAGTGGCTAGTATAGGTACTTCTAGCAGCATCGGTCGTATAGAGAATAAGACGTGTAGTTCGCCAGCATTAAAAGTTCTTTGAATCGATTTTCTTAATTTCCTCGTAATTCTCTCACTTGGTATATCACCCTTGAGTTGTAGTCGTATATAAAGTGGCTTCTTGTTTACAGATAGTGAGTAGTCCTTTTCCGCTATTGACTTTACTAAATCAAATAAAAGACTCAACTCACTACTCAGTTACCTAGAACAATAGGGTCTTTCATGTATCAGGCGTGTGTGTTTGTGTGTGACGGATAGAAAAACTCCGAAATGTGAATATAAATCTCCTGTTCATCTGTGACTACAGGAGAGATGTTCCTTAAGTTCTAAATAGAAGTCGTGATTGGTGATAAGGTTTACCACATTACAGGCATAAAGCAGATACTCATCGATGACATAGGTTGACAGTGATGCAATACAATACATCGTGGAATTGACAGAAGTTAGAAGTGCGTTATTATTCCCTCGGATCCCACCCAAGCAGCACGTCTCTTTTTCGCATCCTGTCCTTTGTAGACTTTCTTAGCTGGCTCAACAATTGCCCACAAGTTCTCATCTCCTCCAGACACCATCTCCTCTATATCATCCACGTATCAATACCTAACACGTCATTTCCTATTTGGGCTCCATTCGAGAGACTTCACGGCACGCATGTTTTCACTCAACAGTCTCCTCCCCCACCCCCCCCAGCGTATATCCAATTTACCTCCATTTCGTTTGATATGTTTGTTGAGCGATAGCTACTTGATTAATATTAGATGGTTAGAGGCAATCGGTCACAGGAAGCCTTCGACACCACTTAGGTTTCGTGCTAGTTGGCACTCACCAGTCAGTCAGCAAGGTGTATCTGCAACCCTGAAGGAATTCATGTCGCTTCTGAGATTCGAACCCGCGTCACCCAGTGAATACTGCAGTCAAAGACGCTACCACTGAGCTATTCGGGCTCGCTAATGAACTCTCCTGTAAGACTTTACTGGATACTTTGATTGAACGCTAGTAACTAGGGTGATGTGTTTAGTCCTTTCTTTGGTGCAGACTGAATTCTATCTATCACATTTGCAATGTGGTCACCATTCTGGGTAACTCACCATCATGGTGCACATTGATTTGATGATATTAGATGGTTCGAGGCAATCGGCAATCGCGAGCCTGAATAGCTCAGTGGTAACGTTTCTGACTGCAGCACTGGGTGACGCGAGTTCGAATCTCAGAAGGGACATGATTCCCTTCAAGGTTGCAGATACGCCTTCCTGACTGGTGAGTGTCAAATAGCACGAAACCTACGTCAAGCAAGGCTTCCTGCTGATTGCCTCCAGCCATCTAATATCATCAAATCAATGTGCACCATGATGGCGAACCATCTAGAATGACGGCCACATTGAAAACCTGACTGATAGAATTCAGTCTGCACCAAACAAAGGACTAGACACATCACACTAGTTACTCACTAGTGTCCAATCAAAGTAGCCTCTTGGTTGATTCGGTGACAGAGTTCCTCAGTGTACATCCCTTCTAGCTGACTAAATGATCTACAGCTGTTAATAAAAGTCTGAAGTAGCTCGTGGGAAATACCTTTGGTGATGCGCCACCCCCACCACCACTACCCAAGTCCCTGAATCACATATGAAAGACTAACTGACTTGACATTAGAGTTGAAAATACGATTCTTGTCCCTTAAAGTGATTAAATGAATGTCTGTCCTGCTGTCGATCTCCTCATCTGTACAGTCTGTCGTTCAAAGTATGATGCGCCTGGGTCAGGTAAACGATGGTTTCTTGTTGTTATTGCTGATTATCAGGTGTCAGTTATAACTTTTCTATGTTCACTTGAAGCCCTGTGATTCGCTGCCTGCTTCTTCTGCCAACTTGCAGTTTTCCACTTGTAGTTCTTTGGGTTTCTGTGACATTAGATGAAAACTATCCATAAAGCAGCCAAGGTGTTCTAGAGTCATTTTTGTTGGTTCAAACGTATATATATACCAGTATTCGCGCTCTCCACGGTTTTTTGCATAACCCATGCAACCCATGCACTAACCCTTACAAACCAAACTATATAAAATTAATCTGATGCTCGCTAGTGACTTGCTACAGGATGGAGTTTCTTGGAGAGAGTTCTAGTGAGAATTCGTGACCAGTGAGGTCCATCCAGATGTCGTATGTGAGGACGGATGTCCCACCAACGACACTGGTTGGGGTAGCGTTAAATCACGAATTGGTAGAAGTTGGAATTCATGCGGTGGCCATTGAATCGGGTCCCAGTGGCTGAATGGTATACGAGCTTGCCTTGTAACCGGAAGGGTGGGTGCGTACTGCTGATGTTTCCCAAACATGGCGGATGAAACAGCTGTCCAGTACTCCATGGTGGGCTTTCAATGGTTCTCTAACTGATATCATTCCTTGATCAACTCGTAAAAACATAACTAACCCTTACAAACCAAACTATAGAAAAAAACTCAATAATTACTAAAACAATAGTAGAAACCTACCTCTTTTTCACGATTTGTCGCTATCAATTCTTGTCTAATCTTATTCAACTCTTGTTCAGCTAATTCTGCTCGTCTGATAGCTTCACTAGCCTCCAGCTGGGCATCTTCAGCTTGCAAACGTTGTGCTTTCACTTGAGAACGAATCTTCCCACCCAATCGAGTTTCTTGTTCTAATTCAGCCAATCGTTGCATACACACTTGATTATCGGTTTCTAGCTGGGAACAACGTGCACGCAGGCTGACTGCCTCATCAGCATGTTTACGTAATTGTTCAATTGTAGCTGATAGGCGGAGAGCATTCGACGCCTCTTCACGAGCTATATCTAATTCATCTTTTAAATGGACACTTTCTTCAGCTTTAGCAGCAAGGATGGAACACTGTGACAAAAAAAATAGAATCAAAAATAAACACAGAGGATATAAGTATAAAACTTGGGCACTGTGGTAGAGCATAACTCCATTATGGATAAGATTTTATTTTGATAAAATTACACAGTCTGTTATAGAGTAATATTGACTGATGACGTTTCGAGCACAAACTATTGACACTCATAATCATATTAGGGCAATACTCACACAACTTTCTTGCTTCATTTATATACACGAGTGAAACTGATTAGACATTTGAATAAAATCAGTATAGGATAATGTACATTCAGAAATAATAATATGAGTGTTATCAATCAAGTACAATCAGATGGGAAATAAGACGAGTGTTTTTATAGTCAAAATAAGTAACTTGTTAGAATGTTGTGATGTGCTTGAATTCAAATAGAATTTTGAGATTATTTATTATCCTCTTCTGATTTGACTGACTGGTGGTAATAATATATTCCATATCTCTGGTATTTGCACTGAGTCATTTCTGTTGCATGTGCTGGTTGTAGACTCGATGAACAAGGACTCAGTAATCAATCTGTCTCGCGCTCCACCTGACTAGATTACTTTTTAGAATTTTGACTCTGTCCCACCACCCTATTGTGTGGTTGTGTGTCAATGGATGCAGTGCAATCGTTGAGCTTTTTTCTAAATTACTTATCTTCTCGGGGTTAACCATTCCTTCCTTAGCTAAGTTCTTATGTTCCTACAATCTGATGACCTCCGATCTACTAGTTGACATAACTCACAGTCATTGCAGGGTATTTTGTAAATTATATTATTTTGTTTAGTTGAGTCAACCTACAGGGTCCTTCAACCTACAAAGCTTGTCCAACCTGAGTGAGTTTGTAGGTTTAAATGCCACCCTAATTCCTGCTTTATTGAGAATCTTACGTAGGGAGTGTCTCAGATGTCCCCTCCTTATATGGTATAGCAGTAGATGACCTTTATTCTCTCTTATTTATTTTATCATTACTAGTTCCACAATTATTTTTATTTCACTTTTGGCCTCTACTGATCTTCCTAGTGAATTTTATAGGAGTTATTTTATTCCAATTTCTAATCGACCCCACACATGTATATAAATGAAGCAAGAAAGTTGTGTGAGTATTGCCTTAATATGATTATGAGTGTCAATAGTTTGTGCTCGAAACGTCATCAGTCAATATTACTCCATAACAGACTGTGTAATTTTATCAAAATAAAATCTTATCCATAATGGAGTTATAAACACAGAGGAATTTAGAATTATGCCTGTAATCACTGCACTGATATCTACGTAGGTGGTTAGTTGTGTTAGGAACTCACATTCACCACCTACGGCTAAGGTTTAGGCTCGACTCCCGACTGATGTGCTCTTAAAACACCAGCAATAGCCAGTAGAAGGCTGAAAAAGATGGAGGATAGGGCTAGTGTCATGTTAGCGACCCAATCTTGTCAAGTGAAACACCACCACCGTTTGATGATCATTTAGCCACCGGGACAAAATCCATTCACCAACCCCCCCCCCCACCAGATCAATGAAGGAATTTCGTGATTTAATTTAGAAATCAATCAACTTCCTGAAAAACCAACACTAGAAAATTAATCCAATCCCCACCAGTAATTGACTACAGGGTGATGCTGCCCAAAGTTCTGGTGCGACTTTGTAACCACATGGGGGTGTGTGAGGACAGATATCTTCGGTTTTTATTTGTCGGCAGTAGTGCTATACATCGCAAACAAGGTGGAAGATAGAGTCGAATCCCGTAACCTGAAAGTCATGGGTTCAATCCCCCAAAGGGGAGTCATAGGTGCCCAGTACTCGCCGGTAGTTTTTAAAGGTGTTCTAACTGAAAACTTTAAGCCGTAAGTTCCAGTCAGAAGACAGTGAACGAAAAAAATATATATCCATCGATATCTAATACTACTAATATTCATTTCACGATAATGCTATAGGAAGTTAATTAGTGGATACTGAGACAAGTCTCTGTATTATGACTATATGGCTTAAAGTGATTGGGTGAAAGGTTTACACTAGCTCCACCTATTTCGATAGGAGTAGTTAGTTGGGTTGAGCCCAGTTACCTGGGACGGATTATTTATGTGTTGGGCTTTGATCCATCACGAATCATACTATTCAACTTCCAACGCTGCAGTAAGTGACAGAAGGATTCCAGCTTGGGGCTCACTGGCTAAACTTCACGTACTTAAGCCAATGACCTCCATTTTCACCTTTATGGACAATGAGACAAAACGATTTTAGGCATAAAAGCTTGGTCACAGAGAATTTTCTTGAATACAGGGTTCAATGTTTGTCAGGTGCAACAACAAAAACAGTAATAACACTAACTGCGAGGTGTTTCTATGAAAGTGAATTAGCGGTTATCACTGCCCATCTGCCCACAACATGAAAGCTGATTTGTCCTTGGGATACCCAAAAACGAGGGAGCACTAGTCTTGCGTAACCGCAGAGTTTAAGGGGAAAGTTATTTAGACCAGTCAGACACGGCCTAGTTGAAATAGCTTTCAATATTGCATCCATAAGAAGATCTTACCGCTGGCTATGGATCACTCCAAAACAGGTAAGGATGTAAGATTCCCGAGGTTGACCTTTTGTAACCCCATCTCTCAGGAGCGGAGAGACACAGTAGATGGCTTGCTGGTCATACGAGAGGAACACCTTACTGCTGTCACATCCCTCTACATTCACCAGCAGTACGACTACGTTCAAAAACACCCACCCAACAAACGACTTACACTAAGCTGGTAACTGTTTTCAGTCTAACCGCTATCCGAATGACCTATCTGGGACTGTAGGACCACTAGGAACATCAGTTCCATTTCGTGTAGCTCATTGGGTCATCGCAATATGCAAGACTAATTACCACGTCAAAGTAACAGCTATCGGTCTAGAGTAATAATATGGTATTACCGTATACTATATCAACGAAGATAATCTAATATGAAATATAATCGTGATGTCTATTTAATGTTTAAATACGCCTGTCACAACCTTGATTTCAGAGAATCATACTGCACAATTGCACGAAGAGCAACACTGGTTGGAATGAATGTTCATGCAGGTTTAATCATACCCGAAAAGTCGTTAGCGCAGAAGTTACCATCACACCTTAATTCGCTCATATTACGTTGAGGTTCTGAGAGTGAAGTTACACAGCTGGTGCACAGGGATGTAATAGTAGTGTGGTGAGAGCTGTCTGAAAGCCAAAATTGTAGACAGCGATTTACGTCAATGTTACGTCCCGAATCAGGGTCATGGGAAAAACAATAACGAAGCTTAATCTTGAGTAATTCACCAACAAATCATAGCATACTTAACGTGTGCGAATACGATTTGCAGATGTATAGCCTGAATTTCTGAGAAACGGTCACAAGCAGTACAGAATAACCTTCAGCAAGAAAACAACCAATCAGAAGACGTTGCTTCTCCGCTGACAATAATGTATATAAAAATCTGTAAACATCTCTTGATTTTCTCGATAAACGATATGTTGCCTGGCTCTTGTCTTCTGTCGTTACAGTAGTGGTAGTAGGAGGGTGTTCCCCTCAGACAACTAGCAACCACCCAGCTGCCTCTCCACTATGGAGAAATACTAGAGAACGATGATACCGAAAATTGTACATCCTTACTTATATTGCCACATTGAGATCTTCATATGAACGCGACCTGAAAATTCATTTCAAACATGTCTTATGTGACTTGACCTCCAGAAGTTGTCTCCTAGGCTTTCGTGACACGCATTATTAATTCCTGTTTCAGTTCCAGGCTCGTGAGGGCTGATGATACTGCTCCGGTGTTTGCCAAGGCTGGTGTATGTAAGTCAGCGTTCAAGACACCAAAAATCTACAGATTGAAAGCTAAATGCTTAAGTTAACCCAGTCACATTAACACAACTAATTCCTCCTTAATGTTAGAATGCCAATTCACAGCATTCTTCTTACAATAGAAAACATCTAATAATACAATTAGGCATTTTATTTATTTTTATTTTATTATAGCTTCATTCTACACAAGTATAGAATTTCCAGCATGTGAGATATCGGTAGCCCAAATATTAGCAGGCCGACCATTGACATCAGGTGTGCGTCGACCGGGGATCGAACCCAGGACCATGTGCATGGTCAGCGAGCGTCCTAACCGCTGTGCCACCGACGCACGTTAGTAAATAGTGGTTACTGAAATAATTACTTATAATAATAACAACCAAATATAATGACAACACATACTTTTTGTTTTAATTCTTGATTTCGTGTAGTCATTTCAGTCAGCTTAATCTTGAGTTCTTCTTTATCTAAACAAAGGAGAGAAAGACAAAAAAAGGAACACCTACATAAAATGGTTGAGTAACACTCAGCTATAATTATGGAAATACAAAAAGCAAAAACAAATAGTTCGGTGATAGATAGTTCTGAATAAAGAACACAGGGCTTCGAACAGGACACGAATCCATTGTACTCTAATCTTGTCAAGTCACTTTCAGCCTGTTCCACCCACGATATCTCGCATGCTTCAATTACCTCTCCACATCATTTCCAGCATGTCGACTAACTCCTCACTTCCTAACCGGGTTGAATTCGAGGGCCTGACATATAATCAATGTTACTTGAATGTCTCCTCAGCGTATGTTGAATCCATCTCCATTTCTTTGTACATCTTGATTAATTTATAGATTCTTGACTGTCAGGATTTCTTCAGTATCGAGTGAAGTCATTACTTGATGACAGAGTCTGCAGTAGGCTGTTGGAAATGCTTCTTCGTGACTCACCGGGTGAAGTCTCTAAAGATATAGATGGCACTGATTGATTTTGAAATTAGTACTAACGTTCGGATTATGGATAAGATCTTTTTTGATAAATCACATAGTGTTGTTGTACAGTAATATTAACTGATGACGTTTCGAGCATAAACTATTGCTCATAATCATATCAAGTAATAAGTTATATCAGGTTATAACTTGATATGATTATGAGCAATAGTTTATGCTCGAAACGTCATCAGTTAATATTACTGTATAACACCACTGTGTGATTTATCAAAATAAAATCTTATCCATAATGGAGTTATGCTCTACCACAGTGCCCAAGTTTTATACTTATATTAACCATTCGGATCATGTAACTTGGTTTTAGTGATACGTAGACCGATTTCACAGTAATGAACGCTTGTTTCGTTTTCCCGATCCTGACTGGTTTTTGACGATGTTAACGATACCGCCAGTAATTAAAACAATAATGCCTAGGCATGTGAAAGATATGACTTCGTCATTTATGTATGTAAATTGAATATTCCCATAATTAATTCAGAACAAAATATTTAGAGCGAACAATTGTTTTCAATAAATTCTTCTCCAGGCTCTACAATTATAAATCCATTAATTTAAGCATACAATAGCCAGTAAAGGCAAATTAGAATCATATCAGAAAGTGTATTGTGGAAGAAGTATAAGTAAGATGGGATGGAACAATAGTCAGATAGTTTTTTAATATGCATGATCAATGAGAACATGAGATAAAATGAGATGAAGTAATTTAATTTAATGATGTGTGTGTACATATATAAATATAGTCAACAGAAAAATACAGGTTTCGAGAGTGTGTGTAATCAGGGTGTGTGAGACAATATGAAAATAAACCAACGAATGGGGCGGACTAGACATAAGTTCAAAGTTGAAAATAACGACAGTAAAATAATAACGATGATATGGTGTAAAATTACAAGCACTATTGGTGAATGATTGTCAAATAATAATAATGAAGTGGAATGAACAGGATTTTGTAAATACGATGACAATTTAGAAAAGCACTACTTAAACCTAAGGTAATGGAAATCATAAGAAAGGTCATGAAATCATAAATGTCGAAAATGAACGATTGTCAATGAAACAGAGGAATAGAAGAAGAAGAAAATTGTGAAAGGAATTTATAGTGTTGATGGAGGATTTGTTGGCTTTATTGTAGCCCAAGGTAAACATAATGGTTGAACATACTTCTTCTGTATGCAAAGAAACAGTCTTCTGGTATTAATTGCCACCGCTTCAGCTACTGATAGAGCCTGAAGAAGAATTTATTGAAAACAATTGTTCGCTGTAAATATTTTGTTCTGAATTTATATATGTCCAAACCAAGTTCACTTTTAACAGTTTGAAAAAATTTGGGCATTAGGTATATTCATGATATTGATTATAATAAAGGTTTTTGTATTTCCCGATGAATGAAAAACAATATCGTTTTGTTTTTCGTACTTTCATATAACTGAGTAATTGTCATGCATACATTTTATTTTATTATTATTGTGAGCCATGTTAGTTGTAAAGCGGTTGTAAATAAACTAAGAATTGATACCATTATCTCACGAAATTTGTCTTCTAAATGCCTTATTCAAATTTATATCAAAGGGACTAATTGACGTTAACAGATCTTTTAAACCCATCTATAAAACATGTTTTGGGGATGGCGTATCCTAAAGTTTGTGGAAGCCTTAGCTGGCAATTAGAAAGTTTAAACCACCTTTATGCGTTCAAAAACAATTCGTCATCACATTAAACCTTCCTTGGTAAAAATTTTGTTTTGATACCATAGCAGAAGTACTATTATCTCTGTTATTTGGTTTAGTGGTCTTCATTGTTATTCTGACCGTGAATATATCTTTTTAACTTGACCCAAGTCTATTTTCTCACCTCTTAACTCCTTATTAATTTCATATTATATTCCTACGACAAGTCCGTGTCTGATGGATCAGATTGTTCGAAATGTGTTGCGCAAATACACTACACGATTCAGACAAATTACGTCTTATTGCTTTATGTAAATCCATAAAGGGAACTAATTGTTTTAAATATATATATTTATTTATTGACAGCAACATGAAAGATAAGCAGTCTAAACTGGTCACCGACACAGTTCCAAAGAAAACCTTATTCATGAACTTGGAATTCAAAGGTGATCAAGCTTTAGATATGCTCAAAAATCGTCTCTCTAAATCAGTCAGTAAGACGTTCTATGCAGCAAAATTACATATGACGTTCACTAGCCGCAAGTTGTTCTCTACCTCTGTAAAAGATAAGCTCCCCCGTCTGGCCGCCTCCATGTGCATCTATCAGTTCACCTGCTCTTGTGGAGTAAGGTACATTGGCCGTAGTCAGAGGACGCTTTCCACACGGATACGAGAACATATTCCAGCTGCATGGTTTTACAAGGGAGAAAGGAAGTGTGTGCGAAGCTCTATTCTGGAACACCTGATCGACTCCTGTCACTCTACCAACCCTGACCATGATTTTAAGATCATCTACCGAATCCATGCTAACTTGCCACGTTTTCTTCGTTACAGACTTCTAAAGACAGCTGAGGCCTTGGCAATTCATGACTTTAAGCCAGACCTTTGTGTACAAAAGAAGTATGTACAATCCCTACTTCTGCCTTGGCCGTAGAGGGATAGACATTTATTTATTTTGTTTATTTAGTTATTCTATGTACTTTTCCCTTATTACTACGATTATAAGTAATATTATTATCATTATTATTATTAGTATTCTCACTCTGAATCTTTTCCACTTGACCCACTTGACATTTTAAACCCAAAATTATTAATTTTTATATTTTTATTTTTACAATATTGAATTCTATCTTATCAAATTTCACACCGTGTTATGTAACATTTTATATTCGTCTACTAATCTTATAATTATGTACCCCTTTCCAAAATTCTATACACCTTATGTATTATTCTATATACGACATTAATTGCTTTGCCACTTGACATTAAACTATGATTATAATCACAAGTATTTTAATTGCATTTCATACTATTATTACTTCATGTATTCACACCTTTGGTTCAATTTCCTCACCGGATATAATCTCTTAATATAATACGATTGTACAGCTTGATAATAAATTCGCTGTTTAAAAGAGTCTCTTCGTTGAATATTGTGTTCTTAATGCTACAATCGGAAGTATTAAATTATTGAAAAAAATATGTATATTCCTATGTTGCATTGATAAAATACCTGTACAATAGATTTCTATTCAAAATAGTCTAAATTCATAGAGTCAAAATAAGAAAACTAAAAGACAAAATAACTGCGTCTTCGTCTTTTGTACAGCGCACATACACTTAAATCAGCTAACATGTATATATATAGAGAGAGAGAACGGAACGAATCAGCTGCTGTAAAAATAATAACACGCCAATCACATGCACTTTGGCAATCAGCTGTGTAATGATTATTTATTATTTTTTTTTTGTATGAGAGAATCGGTAAATACTGTTTAATTGCTCAAAGAAAAAACCAACATTACACGATTCAGGCAAGTTACGTCTTCTTATTGCTTTGTACATATATAAATATATATCTATTTAAATATCGTCCCCATCATGGATGTGATATCTGACTACCCATAAACGGATGTGTGTACTGCCCAGGAGTTCTCTCCGTCTTCCTTTATGACTATGAGACATGGTTGTTGGAAATGGAAGATCTGAAACTAGCTACCTTTGACCACAGGTATGTAACGGGGTGTGTGTGACATAGTGAACAATATTGAGATTAGCCGCAGAGTGTTATGTGAGGAGGGTTAGTCAATCGATGAGGCTGTGTAGCTACTTCGACTGAGATGGCCACGACACATGTTACTCATATGCCGAGCCCTGTTGCCTCCCTCGACGGCTGATGTTAGCTGACATAGGATAAGGATAGAAAAGAGTTTAGGATGCTGTTTGACGGTTTGATTTGAGGTATTCAGGGAGGAGGTGTATACTGGCTGGGTTGACATCTTCAAGAGAAGAACTAAGAACCAGTGACTTGAGATTATTCGTGATATGGATGAAAATCTTTCTCATTGATGCAGAGATGCATTCAATCTTTGTGCGATCTGCCGTATGTATTAAGTTGTCATGTTTTTCGATGTAATTTATGCTGTCTCCTGTGGGTTTCTGCTCGTTGTAGCTCTCTTCAATCTCGTTTTCCCCATTATATTTTCGAATTATTAAAGATTAATCAACATTGTGAAGATTAGTCAGTTTAGCCTAGAAGTTACATACTATGGATCAGAATAATGAACCGCAACGGGAAAACAGTATGGATTCAAGTCCATATATATACCTATGTCGCACTGATAAGATACGTATACAATAGATTTCTATTCAGAATTTTCTAACTTCAAAGAGTAATAGTAGGAGAACTCGAAGAGAAACAACCCTGTATTCGTCTTCTTCAGCTGAATATATATATATATATATATACATATATGGCGAACGGAACGAATCAGCTGCTGTAAAAATAACACGCCAATC